TTATCGCGCGAGCGGCCTTCGGCCGAGCGAGCGTTATACGTTCGTTAGCGTTATCGACCTCTACATTTTGCGTCTACGTTACTTCGACGTGTCCTCGCTCCTCGCGGCTCTCTCTCTCTCTCTCTCTCTCTCTCTCTCTCTCTCTCGGAGAGATCACGTGAAAAATTACTGTTATTAATGTAACTACGTATTGTATTACGGTACTGTAAATCTTTGGCATTATCTCGAGACGAGATTACCGATACGAGCTGCCCTGCTCGGTCATCCGTTAAAATAAACGACGGACAGCGTGCTCGTTTTTTCCCGTCTCTCCCGGGCTCCTATTACGTAAACGAGGAATTTCCCGGGGAGGTCGCCGGGATATCGATGCCCGCGCGCTTAATCGACGCTAATGTATTAACGATGTCAAACTGCAATCGCACGCACAATTGAGCTGCGCTGCCGATAATTCGATCGCCCCGCAAGGCTCGATCGCGCGAAGTGAGTGACGTAAATGGAAATTCTTATCTCGAGAAAAAAGATATATATATCGGGCGAGCGCGAAAGTTTCGACAGCTTTCCCAGAGATGACGCGATCGATCCGGTTAATCCGGCGGCGCTGGCAAATGTGTGCATATATATGTGATATACCGAAGATAAAAGAAAAGGAAGATAGAAAAAAAACAATAGCTATTAATTGGTAGGACGGGCTGATTGTTTTCAGTCAAATTGATCCGCTTTTCGTTTTGTTTGAGTTTGCACTCACCCAATATTTATATATAATACGCTTAGAGTAGCAAGCCACCGCTTGAAGTATAATTCCATTCGCCGACTAGATAGATCGGCCAATGCGGCGCCTCACATTTTGAATAAAAATATCGCCGAGAGGGAATTCTTGTCGCGGCCGCGGATCCGCTTGACTATTTCGCACGCGATTCCGACTAGAGAACGAGGAATTTTTCCTTTAACCGCTGTTACCGCTTCTCTCTGTCTGCAATCATGACTCTCTCCTGTCCGGGAGGCGAGAGATGTATCATAATGTATCATATCCGCTTGAGCTCTACTGACCGCGATACTGATTCAGAGTCGCGATTGCCTAATTAGGTCGGCGATGTAAAAAATGGGATCATCATCGCGGCTTTCCGAGTAACGTAACACGCGTCACGGTTGATGTCACCGCCGTCGATTTAGCCGATGTATCAGAGCGGCGACCTTTCCCCAAAGATGAATTTGTAAGTAATCGCTCGAAAACAAGACTGATATCACAAGCGTGATATTACGACACGAACGCGACGCGACGCGACGCGAACGCGCGGTCTCTCCCTTTATCGGGCGCGATAAAATCTACGAACGGACGCGCCTCGCGCACGCGCGTCCTTGGAATGTTAATTTATTGCTCAACCGAGACGCGGGCGTCTCTCGTTATTTTTCCGAAGGTACATTGTGCGCGTCCGGGCGCCGAGCGCGGGCGTTCGCGAGATATCACCGCAAATTGCAACCGCGTTAATGGACCGCCGTAAGTCGCCGGGATGCGTTATTTGCGGTTGCTATTTCATTCCGCGGTGCTGCGCTGCGAATAAAAGACGCGGGGCCGAGATCGTCCGACGACACGGTTGCTCCCGCTCCGAGCTCCGGACGCGGCCGCCAAGTCCCATTGAGCGAAATTATTCGATCCTTCGTTGCACGTTTTTTTTTCTTCTAATGAATATAATTTCGTGAAACTTATTACTCGGGGGTTTTTAGGGTCGCTCAACACAAATCCGGTGTGAAAAATACGAAATTCAAAATGTCGGATCCAATATGGCGGACGGAATTTTTTGAATCAGTCGAATTCGTTACTCGAGTCGGTTTTTGAAGTCGCTGATCACGAATCCGGTGTGAAAAAATATGAAATTCTTTTTGCAATTGCAGAATATTGTTACGTCGCAGCAAAATTTTTGGGGTCTGAATGATCAGTCTAGAAGGCGTGCCGCGTCGTAGCGACTGCGTCGTAGCGTCGTAGTGAACTGCTGGCGGTTAGCTGTATCGTTACAGCTGACTGCGTTTGAGAACCAGGCAATCTGACCGATGTCAACCAAACCTTGAACTTTGAATTTAGTATTTTTCACACTGGATTTGTATTCAGCGACCTCAAAAATCCCCGAGTAGCAAGTTTCGAGCGAATTCGACTGCTCTTGAAAATTCCGTCCATATTGGGTCCGCTATTTTGAATTTTGTATTTTTCACACCGGATTTGTATTCAACGATCCCGCAAAGTCCCGCAAAGATAATGATTTTGAAGTATACGTTATTACTTAAGATTTCACGTCAAACCAATTTATTCTCTAAAAACGACAGTTTTGTGTTCAGTGTATGCTTATTAATAACAAATTACTTGAAATATTATTTGAACAATGAACAAATAATTTGAAGCGACTCTAAAAGTTGGTCTATTAGTTAGAGGGATATTTTAGTGGTGCAACAATACCAAATATGCTAGAGATGGCACTCTGGGAGGACCACTGGGTGCAGCAAAGGGTTAAAAGAGCCGCACTCCTCGCTGCGTACGCAAACAACAACGGCGAGTTTGGAGAATCTCCGGAAGATCGCAATTCGCGCGACGCGCGCCTTCTCATCCCTCATCCGTTCGTTCCTTCATTTCGTTCACCCGCGCTCCTCGTGCTTGCGTTAACGAGCGGCGGCGAACGCGGGAGGGACGGGGGGGGAAGTCAGATTCCGCCGCGGAAATAAATTCTAATCCCGTTCCCGGCGTAACAAACGCCGACGCTAATTTCGCAATTACGTATTCGTTGTCTCCCCGTCCTGCACACCCCGGCCAGCGAGAGATCTTCATCTGCCGGTCGCGCGCACGGGGGCGACCTTAATCCCCAAACGTCACATCAAACACCCCACGCCGACGAGTTAATTCCATAAAAGACAAATTCGCGTCGCCAGGAGGAATTCAATTTGCGTGCGAGTTTTGCATAACGAGTACGCTGCAGTGGCCGCGCACATAAGCCCGATAGTTTCTCATTAAGTCACGCTGACCCAGAATCAGACCCCACAGCGCGAGCACAATGGCACCGACGCCGGGGTGATAACCACCCCCGCGCGACTGCTCGACCAGGTTCAATTGGATGTATGCCTCGCATACCGATAGTCTCGCGGGAACAATACTCTGCGTAGACCTGTATGAGTCTCGTCTAACGTACGTACACGCGACCGATGTAGTGACGCAAGCGGTAGTGACGTAGTCGCGCGCGCGTGCGAGGGAGAGGCTAAAAATCCAAATACCCTCCGCACTCTTTCCCCGTCGTATTCTCTTGTTCTCCCTCAAGGTCGTGAATGACCTCGAGAGCGTTCTCGCGGCGCTCGGTGTGCTCCATTATAGTGCCGGGGCGAAATGCGGCACGAGTCAGTCGAACCTCCACGAATATTCCACCTTAATTCCATATTTGGAAGGCGGGGGGTTCCTTCGCCGCCGGATCGCGCCGAACGCGTCAACATTTTCAGGTCACGAGCGTCGCTGAAGAAGAGCGAGAGCCTCGTGGGTTCACTGTCGCACAAGTCGCTCCGCCGAGGCGGTGCGGTGATTTCTTCGGCGGAGACGCGATTTTGTATGATCGCAAATATTCCGAATCACACCGCTCGCGTTATCGTCGGTCGAAATCGGCGACATTGAATGCATCCTCAATGCACCTACGCGTATGTCGTACTCTCGTGTGTGTGTGTGTGTGTGTGTATGTGAGCCGAGCGATGCCTCAACCCCTGACCTACATGGACGACGGAATCTCGAATGGTGGTTGATATACCCGCGAGAGTTTCAGGATCCGGCTCAGCACACTTATACGTGGGGCCGCGTTTGCACAGGATTTGCAGCATGAAAACAAACACACACACACGCATAGATACATGCGTGTATGTACGAATGTATCACGTATCGACGTCTCGTCGTGTTTCGCGCGCGAGCGGGATAAAACTTTTTATTGGCCTTTCGAGGAGAATGTCGCTGGTCTAAATCTCGCGGCGCGCGACTTACATTTCGCCCGGACACTCCGCGTCGAGAGAAATTGTTTCACCTTACCTTTCGCGAAGCACAAAGCGCCGCGGCCGCGTGGGAGTGCACAATACCGCTCGCGATTTCGCGATACGTGTTAACGCGAGATTGGGAGAGAAATGCTCGCGGACGGATAAAACGCCGTGAGGAAAATTCTGCCCGCGATCTGCCGGCAATCTTGCCTCTCAAAGCCGCCGCGGCGCTTTCGCGTTCGCCGAGTTTCGTTGTTACGGTGTAAGTACGGCGCAGTTAATGGGGGTCAATAATACGTCTCTTATCAGACGACGACTTATTGAGCGAGCCGAGCGCGCACGCAAAAACACCGGAAACAGCCGCTCACAAGTAAACCTCGGAGAGGGGGGGGGAACGTCCGACGCCGATTTGTTTCCAATTTTTTATAGTTATTTTTAATCTCATAATATAAAGAAATCTGTTATCATTTTTAGCTTAAATTAATTTCTCAATTTTTTCGAAATTTCTCAAGTTTTTCGTTCATTTCTTGTTCATTTTTTACCAGATTTTGACGTTAAAATGAGCTTTTGTTTGCTGGATAGTGAGCCGAGAGATTACCCAACGTCGAATGTAGCGTACGACTGAACACTTTTTCAACAATGACGTCAGCCATATTAGATCCGCCATTTTGAATTTTACGAAATGATTCTGATTCATAATCGGCGACATGTGTGTGCAAGTTTCAACAAATCAGATATATATATACATATATTTTTAAGAAATATTGCTTTAATTATATGTATAAAACAGTGTACTTGTGTAGCAAAACTTGAAAAATTTCGAAAAAATTGAAAAAATTAATTTAAGCCAAAAATGATAACAGATTTCTTCATATTTTGACATAAAAAGTAACTATAAAAAATTAGAAACAAATCGGCGTCTGACGTTCCCCGAGGTTCACTTGTCAGCGGAGGAGAAAAGTACTTGTCTCCTCGTCGGCGCGATTTAACCTAATTTCCGGACAAGTACTCACCGTGACTTGTTGATTAGTCGGGCTAGGGCTAGGGCTCGGCGTGGAATTTGGCGTGGAGAGCTCCCCGGATGCGGGGGAGGGCGAATTCGCAGCGATACCGCCGACGGTGGGAAATGCCCTTGCTGGGTCGGCTTGCCATTGTTTGTGGATTTGTTGCGACGTGTCTCGGAACCGCGCGCCCTGTAAACGAGAAACGCGCGTTTTACTATCAAAGCCGGCTGACTGAATATTTTTGCTCACGTCTAATGTATATATACATACGAAACAATAAGGTGTATCGTGCAACGGTATTCCCAAGTACGACCGCTTCGGAGATCGCGCGACCATTGAAACAGCGGCATACGTAGATGCGCGTCGTATGTTACGCTACGTTACGAGTGGCTACTGGCGCGTAAGGCGCGTCGCACAACCAATCACGCACCTTCGTCGCATAATCGGATTTCTATCAGTTTCTGCAATAGTGTAGTTTCGGATACAGTGAACACTACAGTTATTACTGGAGCGAAAGACGAAAACGTAGCAAAAAATTCCCTATCGGAGACTCTACCTCGCTAACTTGTTGCGTTCCTACTTTTCATTTTCGTTGGACAACGTCCGTGAGACAAATAGTTTCGCGAACGCATCTGTCGACATCGTCACGATGGAAGCACATTATGCACGATGCACGTGGAAGCACATTGTAAGTTTTAAGCTGCTATTACTGCTATTACTGCTCTCGTTTCCGTATTAGACGTAAGAGACTTAATCTCTCGGACATCATTTGCAATCGATATTATTATCATCATTGATATTTCCGTACCGAACTCTTGTCGATCATTCGTCGAAAACGAGTAACTTCCCAATCAAAACCACAACGTTCATTCAATATCGATGAGGATTGAATTAACGTTGATTCAACGGTTTATCGATCATTTCAACGTCAAATCAACGTCGAATCGTCGTTGTAGTTTTGACTTCTTTCGTCGTCGTAACTAACGAGGAAAGTGATTTTCTGTTTCAGATTTGGGAAAATTTGAGGAACTACAATTCTCGTTATTCAGTCCCAAGTGAGTATTTCAATTCGTCACGCGACGGGTCTGCCGAGATCGCGTCGGTCCGTGCATCGCGTGACGAATTCGCTTGATATTTTCAAAGAGAATTTCCTAGAACAATTTCCCTAATACAAACAATATCCCTAAGGTTTTCTTCGGAGAACTAGAATCCTAGTTTCTCTATAGTCAATAGCCAACATATTCGACCGACAAATCGGCAAATAAAGTCAGTTAGGTACTGTTCCTTATAACTGCACGAACTTGCACTTATTACACTTGGAATAAAATGTGAATTCGTTTTGGAACACATTTGATTATGGAACACATTTGATTTTGTGCAAGAGAAGAAAGCATAAACTACATTTACACGGCAAGGTTAATCCGGATTAATAGTAACAACTGTAGTTAGTGAATTCTTTGATTCGATTGGTATATTCTTTTAGATCTAAAAATATACTCTAGTCGGATTCGAGACTGCACTAACTACGGTAGTTATTAAGTCGAAGTTAGAAGCCGTGTAAACGTCTAGTCATTGAAAGGTTACGAGAAAATCCAGAGATTTATAAAAAATCAGTATATATAATAACATATATGCAATGTTGCTGCAATTGTTGTATAGGCAATAATAAAAGACGGACACAATGACAAGATGAATGCCGACGTAGAGGCGCTGTAGAAGAATGATTCCTCGTATTTGAAATTCCTCGCATGTGAGGAAAGGGAGTCTACTGATATTTAGAAGGTAACTACCACATGATTTATATTTATTATTTATATTTTATATCTCTTGTTATTTCCGTACCGAGTATCCTTGTGTTCTCGTTTCCTTGAAACCGAGCAGTATATCCGTTACACGTAACTAAGGAGAATTATTTTCTGTTTTGCGACAAAGAGTTTGCGGTAACATCGAGAAAGCTGATTTCGCACATGGCCGCAATATCGAACACTAGCTGGTGTAAAATCGTCTTGAAGGTTAGTTCATGCACTTGCTTGTACTCTAATATTTCATAATATTTCATAATACACGGTCATAAGATTGGAATAATCTCGATAAATGAGCAACATAAAAATGCGGTAAATATTATTACAATACACATGTTAAGTAATTAATCATGCAGCATAGAAAGTTGCAACAATATTGCTAAGATATTGAGATTTGAAGTATAAATATCTTTCTAATATTGAATATACATTGAGTTTCTTACATTGATTATGTCAATAGTATCTGTTCAAATTTTCTGTTTTTCCTTTTAATTTTTAAATTATAATTTTCACGACAATAGTCCTTGAATTATAATCGCAAAAGATTTATTTGCTCTAGACTCGACAAGTCGAATCGTTAAAGTTCTAATCACTAATATTATAATTTTTTTTTTTTAAACAGCACACGGCCAGCCCTACATTAGTGGTAAGTAAGAGAAACAGCTCGAAGCATTGAATAGTGTTTAAATATTAGTGTTGAAATATAAAAATTTATGGTGGTGAGTATTTGTAAAACTCGTTAAAATCAATGCGATTTATTTTGCTTCAGTTAAGTTAGATTATGTTAGGTACATGTTTGTGCCATTGTAGAAAATATACTGTTCAAAACAGTTAGGGAATCACAGTTTTAATTATTATATTAATTATTATATTATCATTACTTATATTATCATTACTTATATATCTAAATATATACTTACATATTTCTATATTTTATATAATTATTTTTCTTATACAATTCTTACAATCATTCTTAATTAAAGATGTATAATAATAATTATTGTAATTACTATTCTTATTGTAAATATTTAAAACTGTATAATTATTTTTTTAGATATAGTTATATTCGATACAACATTTATACACATTCCATGTGAATCTCCAATTGTTTGCAACAGTATACATATAGCGGGCTATAAAAATTGCGCCACCACATTCACGAGGTTTACAATTACACCGCATTGATAAATTTCGTGGTCGCTGCGGTTCCGTTTTTAAATTTTTGTTTGTTTGTGTAATATATCTTGCGCGAGATACAGTACTATTGAATATCAATAATTTTTTGTGACAGTAATATATTATTCATGCGAGAGTAAAACTAAAATTTTTTTCTCTGTTATCGAATTTTTAAAAAATTATGCTTGTTATAGAGTCAACAATTTTAAGCAGTTATAAATCATATTTTGCATACGTGTGTGATTTTTAATTTTCGATTTTTTATACTTACATTCGTGTATGCGCAATTACGGCTTAAGAAAAATATTATTGCATCCGCGGGGATTGATTAAAAATTCGCGGAGAAGTGTGTGTTCCGGAAATATCTCGGAAATAAACTTCGCAGATATATCGCGGAATAGGCCTTGAGCAATGTCGCATAGCACATGTTCATACATATGTTGCGAAACCATCATGCATAAAAAAAAACACCACCTGTGAGATTCTTCGCAGTCGTCGCGATCGATCTTTCATTCGCGTCGCGTTGATTTTATTCGCGAATTTTAATTTCACGGTTCTAGTTTTGTCGTTTCTGTTTATCTTCTCTAAAACGCGACACGTGCCGCGAGTGTATATTGAAGCGACATTGTATACAGTCACGAATAAATTCGAATAGAATTGTTAACCTCGGTGCGCATATTTATCGTTTGCTTTTGAAATTAGATTTCTCGCGAATCTCGGCAATCTCGTTTGTTGACAAAGCACACGAGCGTTTGCGCGGAACGTGATGTTTTTCTTGATTTCTCTGACCTTGTCGAGAGCGTTATAACCATGAAAGAATGAAACTGACAAGAAGGTATAAGTTACTTTTTCATCGGTTAACAGAGAAAGCTGCTTTACAACTTTAAAATACGCGAATCTAATTGGCGCGGCTCTTAAAGATGGCTGAGTCCAAGAGCATGCGTCAATCAGGTTGACGAATTTCACAACAGTTGCAAAGCAGCGCTCTCTGCCGAACGTAGCCGCTCTTCGTCCAGGTCTCTTTTTTGCGTCAACTTAACCGTGCCGCGGAAATAAATAGCCCTTGTTAATTTCACTCCTCCATGAATTTCGGTTCGCGACTGTTTACCCGCGAGGATATTTTTGAAGAGCTCGAGCTGATCGCGTATCTTTTGTCAAGTCGCCAAGTGTCGATGATCGCGGTCGCGAATGCAGTTCAATGACGTGAGTGAAATATGAAGATCAACGCGAGACACGACGACGAGACACTATGAAGTCCGGATGCTGAAGAGGTTAGACTCAAATCAGTCGACGCGGTCGAGATGCGGTGGCTTTCGTCGATGGACTTGGACGCGCAATGGTGAGTGTAAAAGTGAAATACTCATGAAGCTCCGCTCACACAGTGCATGCATTGTGTGCGCGATGCAAATCGCGTTGATTCTTAATGAGACGAGATGCTTAACCTTCTGCATGTCGTATGTCTGCTCTCGGTCGTCGGAGAGCCACGAGATCGATATGCACAATTAAGAGTTTTAATTATATATGTTTAAGAGGATTATTATAATTAAATTAATAATTAAATTATTATTGTAATTATTATAATCATAATTATTATAATTATATTATAATACAAATAATATATTAATAAATTATAATACAAATACAAATAATTAATTAGTATAATTATAATTATTATAATTATAATTATTTAATTATTGCAATTAAATTAAAAATTAGAAGATTATTACAGTTATATAATCAAGAAAGCGTGATAAACCTTCGCAAAACTTAAAAGTTGCGTTCGTTTCTTTCGCGCGTACATTTCGCGCAGAGACCAAGCCAAAAATTTCATCGCGACTTGGCTGATGTTCCGAATCTTGGAATCGTTACAAATGCAAAGGCTTGACTATCGATGCACCGCGCGGTTGCGCGGTGTAAAAATGCAAACGACGATGCGAGTGCTTTAACGTGAAAAAGCGGTTTACTGCGTAATTTAACAATTTTATTGGAGCGAAAGTACGAAAGGCGATTTCTTTGCGCTCGCGCGCCTTATCGTGACATCGTAGGCAGTGAGCGTCATTATGCGGCAATTAATATGCGTATGACGCGGGTGCGTTGCTGAACACTTGCATCCTTGAAGAACTAGTTCGGATCGTTTATGCCGGCGTACACGTCACATCGGCCGATGACACAGTTCGATTAGTCTCGGATATTTGCCTCTGGACAATTGTA